TCTCTCTCTCTCTCTCTCTCTCTCTCTCTCTCTCTCTCTCTCTCTCTGTCCTTTCCACTATTTGAGCTTCTCTGAAGAAATTAAGATTTCAAGTACTACTAAAGTTTAGCTCTCAGGTATGTTCAAAGATTTTTACCTGTTATATCAAAGGAAAGAAAAGTGTGCTAGAAGAGCAAATGGGGGTGGGGAAGAGAAACCAGGACATGAAATGCTTGATGGAAACAGAGATGAGACTGGCTCCTGGGGCATCTTCTGCAGGACCCCCTTCAATTCTGGCAGTGCCCTGGGATAACTCACTGAATTAACAAGAGGACAGCAGAGAAATACATTTGTCTGAAATTGAAATCATGGGGCACATAATAAAAAACTGCATCAGGGAGAATGCACACCTCTGTTATGACCTATCGCCACTTAGTTTCTATGTAACGAATTTCAATCACTCTTTCACAACTTGACTTCTCTCTGGTGGCACTGGATTTCTTTAACAGTACAACTAATAGTCAGGAATGATGGGAGTGTAGTGCAGTAGCCCCTGGAGGGCCATCACATCCTTATTTCTTCCTTCCTTCCTTCCCTCCTTCCTTCCTTCCCTCCTTCCTTCCTTCCCCCTTCTCTGATTTCACCTTCCTTCCTTCCTCCCTCCCTCCTCTGATTTCACCTTCCTTCCTTCCTTCCTTCCTTCCTTCCTTCCTCGTCTGATTTTACCTTCCTTCCCTTAATCCTGTATATTATGGTTTGTTATTATTAGTATTTATTAAAGAATGCTGTGTAGCTTAGAAGCTCTCAGCAAAAATAACAGCAGCTGTTGTTTGTGGCTGAAGCTATCCCAGACTGTTATTTACACCCACCCACCCACACACCTACACCTATTTTTATTCCACTTTCCCTGGGTCCTTGGGGAAGGAATGGCATATTTTCCCCATCCCTGTCTATAATAATCAGGACTTTGCTCAAGACTTAAGCACACTTTTTGCAGAGTGTCTCTCCTCCCCCCATCCAAAAAACAACAACAAAAAACCAGGATTCAGAACCATGAACCAGGAAACTTAGTTGGGAGCCCCCTCCGGACTTGGGGGAGCAGAGAGAGGGGGGAGTTGGGGGGCTACCAGTCCCACTACTAACTTGGTGCAGTCTGGAGCTGCTGCTTGAACCAAGGCCCTTCGCTTCCCCATGGAAAATGCTCCGAAGAGGGTGGGGAGGCAAAGAGCTGGTCGATACCATGAAGGGCATTCTCTATCTGTTCCCTACTTGCAGCCTTGCAGCTACTATTGTCCCATCTTGTTTCCCCCTTCTCTTAAAATGAGGCTAAGGAAGAAAGCTGGGAGGGGTGGATCTAAGGGGAAGGAAAGAAGAGACATAGGCAGATCCCTCTCTGAATAGCCTCCCTTGCAGATTTTGACTGATTTCCTCTCTGATCCTCCGACAAACAGATCCCTCCACCGTTTTGGGCTCTGGCCTGCCAGGCCTTTATTTTCCCCATTTATTGGGGGAAATTGGATTTTTGTTGGGTCTTCCCCCCGCTCAATGCCAAAAGAAAAGCCAGCCAGACTTTTCTCCGCCTAGAAGCACCCCCTACCCTTCCCCCTTCTCCCTTTTTCCTTCCCCCTACCCCCCACTCAATCCCACTTTGGGACAGAGGAGCGTACACTGGAAACGCATGTTGGGACAACATTGGAGCACGCCTGCTGACCCCCCGGCACTCAGCCACAACACTTCATGCTCCTCCAGTCCCAGCTTTCTGAGGAGGGGGGAGAAGCAGTGATGCCTCTGCTGCCCCCCCCCCCGGCCCCAGACATTGCTGCCCGGCTTCCTCAAAGGCACACTGCATTTCAAAGGTGGCAGCTCGCATCTGGAGGTGCCAAACAGTGTCTCGCTGCGAGAGCCAGGCCAGGCTTCTCCACCATCTGACTTGCCAGTGGGGGCTCTTCTGCTGGGCCAGCCCGCTCTCCCGCTGGGCTTTTTGCTTGGTACTTGACCGGGGGAAGGGAATACTTTCCCATGCCACCCCATTCTTTCTCTTGCCCGCCAACAAGGGAGGAGGAAGGACAGGCTTGGGAGATGGCCCCCACCCTGCAAGATCCACTCCCGCTGTTCTCTCCCAATCCTCTTTGCTGGCGGCAACAGCAAATGTACCATGATGAAGAAGGAACCCTGTTGATGTGCAAAGGCAAGTACAGGGGTGCTTTGCTCCCACACTAAGGCACAACAGGGCAACAGCTCTTTCATCCCTCTGCCATGACAGGGTGATGGAGCTGCAGCAGAGTGAAAGAGCCGCATGCGGCTCTGGAGCTCTGGGTTGTCAACACCTGATTTAGCCTAAATATATATTTAGCCTAAATAATATATATATAGCGAGTACTAAAGCAGTGTTCTGATCAGCTGGCCATTGTTCTCACAGACATCTTCAATCTCTTGTTGCATCAGGCCATGGTTCCATCATATTTTAAGGCTGCCATCATTGTACCAGTGCCAAAAAAACTATCATCATATGCCTTAATGATTACTGTCCAATTGCACTTACTTCCATTATGATGAAGTGCTTCGAGAGATTGGTAAAGGACTATAGTTTCATGCCTTCCCCCCTACATTTGACTCATTACAGTTTGCCTATCGGAAGAACCGCTTTATACAGTAGATGATGCAATTTCCTACGTGCTTCATCTTAGGTTGGGGCACCTGGAGGAGAATACTCGTGTGTGAATGCTGTTTGTTGATTTTAGTTCAGTATTCAACACAATCATTCCTCAGCATTTGGTGAACAAACTGGGCCTATTAGGTTTTAATACTCCTTTATGTAAAAGGGTACTGGATTTCCTTATTGATATCTATGCCAATTAATGTATATTTAAAGTGATAATAAAGTTATTCTAAGTTTCTTCTAAGTCACACCTGAGTCTTCTTACAAGAAATTTGTAGTAAATTTAAACAGTTCATTATATCTTGTGACATGAGCGTGTTGGAATTCTCACATAGTCCCTTTTTCTTGCTAAGGTTTTGCTCACCTATAAGCCACTATATCTCTTGTGTCTATAATCTTTAACTGGGCAAAACAGTGCATCATAAAGTAAAACCCTTTGAATTGTGGCATCTTAGATGGACTAAATTACAGAATGTGTCCAATATCGGAGACCCAAAACTAGAATTTAAATCTGATAAATTTGATAACATATTTTACGACATTAAAACTTATCATAAAGCATGTTATGACATACAAAATGTCATAAAACATTTCCTGTGGTCAGGTCCTGATGTTTGACTGTGCTGTACAGTTCAACCTGGGCTACTTTCAAGGCAGATATATCTCTGAATACCTCCCTGAATGTTTTATAATTTTTTTTTTTTTAAAAAACAAGTTTTATTTTTCAAGACAAACAATACATAAATACACATAAACACAAAACATAAAAGTATGTTTTATAATTTTTCAAGTACATTAAAATCTTTGCCATTGTTGAAGGCATTGGGGACTTTGGAAAAGAAATAGCTGTGAAATGGTGAGCCAAGAGGTTATGGGTTTATTTACTTAATTCATATGTCACCCATCTCAATCTGAAGAGTGACTCTGGCTGGGTTGTCTAATCTTTCTTTAAAATTTGAAAAAAATGATGACTTTATATCATTGCACCCACCAATACATTACTTATATTTGCAATTTATGCAATATAAAAGTACATTTTGAATGTGGCATAAATTAGAAGTGGGAATGTGTCTCTTCTAAGATGGAGATGTATTCCTACCCCTGATTTATTTTGGGTTATGCTAATATTTTTTCAACAATTATTCAATATTAGAGTTGGTCACTCTCATTTGAGCATCATTCTTAGAACTTTCCTATGATAGAAACACACACCACATTTGTCTCAGATCTTCCAAACTTCTTAGGGGAGTACATTGCAAGCTTAGTTGATATAAATCCTTCCTTTCTTCCTTCCTTCCCCAGATAGTTAATGCAATAAATAAATTAAAAAACACATTTAAAACAACATGACTGTCCAGGCTAAAACTTTTTCAACATTTGCAACAATACTTGACAGGGGCTCAACAGAAACGTTAACCAATGAATAAACTAGTCACTTATTTCTCTGAGGAATCATTTGAGATTAAGCACACCAAATAAAAATCTTAATTTGAACAAAGTGACCTAGATTTCATGCCTGGCAGTTAAACAGTTGGAAAATACAGCAAGTTAAAATCTTGGTATATTTAGGCATGGTCTCCTATAGCTCTAATGTAAAGTGTGCTCCAAAACAATATAATCCATAATATACAAAAATCAGGTGCAGAGAGGCATATCCCACCCCAGCAATAGTAGAGCTTTATTTGGCTAAAGCACACAAGCAACTTTAGTTTGGCACTCACTAGAAACCATAAAACTCTTTTGCCGCTCTATTTCAAGTGGGGCTTAATGTACTACAAGGAGGGAGTCCAGTTTAACTAAAAAGATGGATGGATTTGTGCTATAGTTTATTAGTTAAAGTTTTTTTTGTCCAGAAGAGCTGGGCTCGAAGCTTGTTGTGGACAATTACCAATCAAAATAGAAACAGATATCCCTGCAAAAGTTTGCATTTTCAAAATGCACTGTGCATTTTCAATATAAGCTATTCTAATGATAAACAAGTACTTACTATACTCAAGCACTTTATGCACTTAACATGCCAGAGATTTAGAAACTCAACCAAATCAATTTGCTCTACCCAGGAATGTGTTCCTGTGGAATCATGTTACTTTTTTTTAGGTCAGTAAGATTCTTAAATCATATAACTGTTCTTAAACTCTAAAGAGCACTAACATTGTTGCGCTTCAATATCTTGAGGGCAAATACAAAAAAACCCCAATCTCTTAAGACTGTGCTCTTTTGGAGGGAGATCTATTGTATCTGTAGTTCATGTCTTTTTAATATATTATGCACCCTAATAATTCCATATGAAT